CTGTGATTTTTGGATTGAGTGTGGAGTGTTATGTACAGTATGATGGGATGTATCATTTTAGAACCCCAGATTTAATTCCAGTCCAATTACTTTTGTTTATCTACCTCGTTTTCAGTGCTGTTTGGGGGTGCAGAAGTAAACACTGCCTGTGAAACTTGCTTTTTTGCCTAGATTCTCAGTATTCTTTCAGGTTATACATCTGGCCTGCCTCCTAGTCCCATTCCTAACCATGAGTTCGAGATGAGAGGGACCACAACTCTGCCACCAATCTGTGTTTAAGTGATGAGAGCCACGTGCTTCTGCAGAATAAGCTTTGGGGATTTGGGGAAGGAGAGCAGAGAAATAAATCCAGCTGGTGGCAATGTAGGACCTAGTTTTAGGAGTCAGTCCTAAAATAAATGGTAAGAAAGTATCTAAATTAGACAGTCCAGTGCCTGTAACTTTGCATCTTTTATTAAAGATGCATTTCTCATCTGTGTGCCTAAAGGGCTATGGGTTGAAATTGCTTTAACTACCACAGTGACATATTTGCTCAATCCTACAGCAGTGGCCTGTCATTCAGCATATTAGCATACTGCTAGGTATTTGCAGTATTTGTATTTGTATTTGTATTTGTATTTCTTACCTTAAAATGGCTGTTTGCTTTTAGTTGAATCATAGTTGGTCGTAACTGTTTATCCAATCTCTAAAGTTTATTGGAGGCATTGACTTTCTTCTTTGCTGTCTTTTCTGAATGATGAAATGATGCATTCCTTTTCTTTTTCCAGAACACTCAGCTACTGTTTGTAAGCCACATGTTCCTTGTTTCACATGTTTACTGTATAACACTACAGCATATTTAATGTTAGCAAATACTGTATTTCAGGCTTCATGCACAAATACATTCCTGAAGTATGTTTGCCATCAGTTTGGGATTCAGTTATTTAATCTTCTGTTTGGTTTAGAGAAACTTGGGATTTGAGGTGGTGTGCAGGCCATTTTCTAGAATAGATTGTTCATTTTTTCATTCTGTAGTGTCCTTGGGACTTTTTTTAATCCCCCCTTTGTTTTGAAGATGAATCAGAGAGGGAGGTGTGTTGTAGAAAAGGCCATTGATTTGATAAATGTAATTTCTGGTGTTCATTTTTTTTAAACCAATCCAGACTGTAAAATTGTGACACTCAAACTTGGTAAAATCCTTTACAATTAGTATGAAATTTTGATGGAGCCAAATGCTTTCAGTTCACCATGGAAATAGTCTTTGTATGTGAAGGATGAACACAAACATTGGTCAGGGTCCTTCATAGCCAACATAGGCAGGGGCCTGGAATAGTGGCTAGATGACACTGACATTATTTTCAACTGAGATAGTTGGAAGACTACAAACCAACAGTTTCCATTCTGGAAGGTTTTCTTTTAATTAAAAAAAAAAAAACTCAAAAAGGCTAAAAGTCAAGCAAGAAGGGAAGAGAGAAACTGGGCTCTTGAGAAAAAAAAATGGGTGTAAAATAAACTCCTAAATGCGTGCTTGTCATCCTTCCAGGTTTCTGTTTTTGTTTTTAAGTTGCATTTCTTTTCCACTATAAGCTAAGATTTCAGATTGAGGTTTGTGGTCCAGAACATACCCTCAGCAGAAATAGTGACTGATCGGAAAGTGCAGTTGTTCAAGGTCTGTCATGCTCAATCACTTAAAGCTGTAATTTGTTTGATATGAATATTAAGCATGTAGACCTAGTGCAGCATGGGAGCCACTCAGGAAGTTTATGCAGTTAATAAACTTTCATGCATAATTTACTATGAAGTATGCAGAATTTCAGCCACTTCTTTACTCTTAACATTTAGTTGTATATGTGAACTCTCCTTTCTTAATTGGGGAATGTAGCATTATATAGAATGTTGTTAAACTTAATTTTAATCCTTCTTGACATTAACTTTTTTTTTTTTTTTTTGTAAACCAAGTGATCTGCCTTTAAGCAGTTGTCTGATTTTGGTTCTTTGAAACTGTGATTTTTATTTCATTTGTACCCAACCATTGTAAGTATTTTGTTTTGTTTCTTGGAAATTTTGTTTTGAAACAGAAAATAAAGGCTGTGTTATAAAATGAGTACGGTATCTTATTAAAATGCTTTCATAGTCACTGCAATCACCTGGCTTAAACTGGTTCTTCATTTATCAAATGTAATTTTTAGCAGATTTAAAAGATTTAGTCCTATAGATTATGCTGACTGAACAAATTAACCGAGCCGTTGGTTACCTCTTGATATATAGCTCTAGCAAATTTTGAGTTTACCTCTTCACCACTCTTATCAATGAGCTATGATTATAACAGTCACTATGATTTTCTGAGTACCTATTGTGTTATCTAGGCTTTTACCTGTGATATTTTTAATTCATAAAACAATCCTATAAGCTGAGTCTGTTACTATCTCTACAGAGAAAATTTATGGATCAGAGAGATTAAAGAATTTGCCATGGTTAACACAGCTAGGAAATGGTGAAGCCTGGATCCAAACCCAGGTCAGTCTGACTCCCAAGCTCATAGGAAAAACCCCAGGCCATACAACTATCAGATATACTGTAGGAAAAATAATCCACATACATTTACAATAAGTTTTCATCTATTATTAGGATTAGTAGGTGCTCTTTTTACATGTCTTTCATGAGGTTATATCCAGTGCTTGTTTCATAATTTCAGGAGTAGAAGTATGTGTTTATAGTACAAACAAGGATTCAAAATGTGCCCTTTGCACAAACTTATTAAGGAATTTCCTTTCATAGTGACAATGTTTATGGTACATCTTTAGGAAAAAAGTACATTTGGAAATTTCCCTCCCATATCTCTCATTTACCACACTACAATGACTTGGGAAACTGCCAAATGAGGTCCGATCATTTGTTCACTTGATAACTTAGAAGAATTGTGCATATGTTTATGCAACCAGCCCTGGAGGAAGATAACAGACCTATCAAAAATATCCAAGGTTAGCTGAGGATTTAAAAAATATTTTTTAAAAAATCTATTACCTTTATTTATTGACCCAGTAACTCTGAGGCATTCTATCTTCGATGGTTCCCTAAAGGAAGGATACAAGGTACATAGTGGAACAAGCATGGGTTTCGATTCATAGACCTCTCAAACCTCCACTGTCTCATTTGTAAAATGTGGTGGTTGTATTAAATGAGATATGCAAAAGCAGCTACCTCCATCCCTAATTTGCTAATTATGTTTATTGTGAGATATCTCTGGTGACTTTCACACTAAACTTGTACTTGGGAAATCAGGCTGGTTCGGAAATGGGACCTCATTCTTATTACAGTTAATACAGATAGACTTTTTAGAGTCCAACAGACCCAGAGTTGTATTCTGGCTTTGTGAACTTGGGAAAACTGCTTAACTTTAACACCTCAATTTCCTTTTCTGTAAAATGGATAGCTGCCTCAGTTGGATTGTTTCCAGACTAAATGAAAAAGCATATAAAGGGCTCAGCACTATACCTGGTATGTAGTAGGTTTGCTCAAATAATAGTAATGACTACTTAAGGGACCTTACATTATCACTATTTTAAGAGAAGAGGAAACAGGTGACAAAACTGAACCCAACTTGTGAGTCAGTGTGAGATCTGTTGGTGGAAGAGATTAGGTATTGGCCCAGAAGGTCCTAGATGATGTAACAGAGTGAGGTCCAGAGTTGAAAGTGTTTAAGTTGGAGGATAAGACAATATAAAACCCATTTAAAATGTGCACCACTAGATAAAAGAAAGAGATGGCAGAATTGTCTGTGCCTAAAGAGTTTAGAAGGAGCTGAAGTAATAGTAGTAGTTGGGGAAAATAGAGTGGGGTCGGTCTTAAAACAGAAGCTCAACACAGAAATAAAGATGTACAGCATAGGTAATGGTCCAAATAGGAGCAGAACCTTGTGATAGATAGATGAAGAATTGGAAAGGACTAGCTCACATGTGTGTTACAAATGAGGAAATAGCCTCAGGAATTAAACCAGTATTTGTAAGGTTTCTCCATTCCAGCTCAGAGGTTCTCAACCCTGACTGCATATTAAAATCACCTGGGGAGCTACGTAATCTATGTAAAGCACAACAATGTGAATGTACTTAACACTATTGAATTGTACACTTAAAAATGGTTTAAGATGGTAAATTTTGTTGTATGTATTTTACCACAATTTAAAATAATAAATGTGTCTGTGCTCCACCCCTACAACCAGTATTGTTACATCCACATATTAATGTAATTAGGGTTGAGAACCACTGTCATTGTTTACTAATCAAATGACTTCCCTGCCTGCTATTAGCCAGTTGCTGGTTCAAGAAAAACAAGAAATATGGCAGCCTCATTAGACCTTCTAATGAACTATTTCCTATAACCATATGAGCTTATAGCCTCTCAAAGAGGCCCCAAGGTTCTGGGCAATAGAGAAAGCTAAGTGGGCCCCTTGCAGAAACTGAACAGCTAGTTGCTACTTAAGTGGAAGATATCAGAAGATTGAGTCCAATGTGAACTCTCCAGGCAAACTCTTTATGCTTCTCTCCACCCTTCATGATAAGAATGAAGATTAATTAGGTGCGTACTGTGCCAGTTATTATGCTAAGCACTCTACATCATTTAATCTCCACAAGCTTCTGAGGTAAGAATCATTACCATCTCCCTTCTAAGCTCCTCGACTGCTGAAAACTGCTTTCTCCCAGTGTCCAGCTTTATTCCTGGCACGTAGTAGGTACCAAATCTGTTGAATGAATTAATGAGTCCCTATTTCACAGATACAGTAAGGGATCAAGAGGCTAAGTAACTTGTTAAAGTTAGATAGCTAATAAGGAGTTGAACTAGTATTGGAACCCAGATCTTGGCTCCAAAGCACGCCCCTTAACTACTATTCTGTGACATCTATCCCCTTCTGCTTTCAGGGCTTTGGCCTATGTTATCTCTACCCTCTCTGGCCTAAAGTTTCTCCTGTATTAGGTATGTTAAGACTCTTGTGTACAAGTAATAGAAATCCAATTTGAACAAACTTAAACAAAAAGAGGAATTTATTATAAAGATGGTGGTGTCTCACAAAACCCAGGGATAATGCAGATGGACCTTAGGAACAAATAAATCAGGTGCTTGAATGCAGCCAGGATTTTTCATCTCTTCTCCAGCTCAATCCCAAATTCTCTGTGAAGGTACATAAAGGATGGCTCCTGCTGCAACCATGAGGATAAGGTAGAGAAGGTGGTAGAAAAGGGGTGCTGGGAAGACAAAACAACAGATGTTTACCTATACTCCTCCTCTTAACTGCCCATAAACATTTTCCCCATAGCTACAATTCCAAAAATGCCCATACCTAACAGAATCCACGGATAAATGCAAGTCACATGCAACTTCTGCATCCAGAAGCAATGGCATGGCATAGACATGCCCCTTCCTCATCTACTTCAGTGACAACCTAAATGTGACTCCTCTTGATCCTGCAACCTTTAGTAAACTTAACTGCCACCAATAGATCTAACATGAGAAATACAGAAATAGATTAACCATGATCAAAATTCCCTTTTAGGAAAGGAGAGGGGCACACCATTATCAGCCACCAGGTCCAAGTATGCACCATTTCCACCTGGATAGGAATAAAGGAAATAAATTACGGGCATAGAAAAACTTATGCGAGTCAATTTACTGATGCACCCTCTCACTTAACCAGTCTGTACTTGGACCTAGGGCATGTTCTAGAAGAGCAGTGATTCTCAAACGTGAGAGTGCATTACAGTCACCTGGAGGTGAGAGACCTGCAAAAACTTTTCTCAACACAAACACTCCCTTCAAACACCTGTGCCAAGAGACTTGACCAAACTTTAGTATGGCTTCTGGAAGCCTAAGGCTAGTCCCTGAGATGACCCATTTCCCATCTGGAAAGCTCAGGGCTGTCAGAACTTATAGTTTGCTCTAGCCAACACTTAAAGATAGGCCCCGGACCTCCCTTTTTTAGAGCATTTACTAAAAAGGGCTTACAACTGTGAGTTCTTCCCCTATCCCCTTGAGATGTATATGTATCTCTTACAACTCAGAAAGATACTTCTTAAAGATCTGAGAGCCATTCCTTTGAAATGTAATCATCAGAAAGGCTAGGGCCTCTATCTCAAAGTCTCTGTAGGATAGCACCCTAAGTTCCGTAAGTGCCAGCTAGCAGACCTAGCTGGCCTAATTGCTTTTGCACTCTTACCCACTTTTGGTAATTTTTCACTTCTCTGACTCTCCTTGAGGCCCTGCCCCCTCCTTCTCTGTTCTCCCTCATCCTCACTTTACAACGCCCAGTCACCTCTGCACAAGTGGGAACAGAGCCCAGCTTTTTCCCCTGCTGGCAGTAGTTACTGAATAAAATCCGTTTTCACTGCTCTTTTTTTAATTTCAAGTTTTTATTTAAATTCTAGTTAACATATATGGTAAAACTGGTTTCAGGAGTAGAATTTAGTGATTCATCACTTATATATAACACTCACTGTTCATCACAAGTGCCCTCCTTAATGCCCATCACCCAGATTTCACTGCTTTAACTAATGTCGAGTTTTGTTTATTTTGACATTACTTAAAACACAGATTGCTGGCCCCACTCACAGAGTTTCTGATTCTGGAGGCCTGAGAATTTCTAACAGTTTGTAGGTGAAGCTGATGTGCTGGTCCCGGGACCATACTTTGAAAATCACTATTCTGACTCGTGGTCCCTACTCACTAGATATGATTTTCTAGTGATACAACTTCCTCAAAACCTCATTTGACTGCCTGTGGATTTCATTTGAGGGGACTCAGAATGCTAATAACAAGTCCAAGAACCTTGTCAAATTATGCTCTTTGAATCTTCAGATCTACTAAAGGGAATAACCTGGCTCATCCTGTTGCAGCTTCTATCTCTTAGCACTCTATCTAATGTTTTAACTTATTCCCCCTGGCATTCTGCTCAAGGTCTGCAGTTCAGAGCTTGGGTAGATAATAATAGGCTGAGTTCAAGGCTATGAGGCATCTTTCTCTTTAAAGATTTTATTTATGAGAGTGAGAGAGAGGGAGAGGGAGAAGCAGACTCCGCACCGAGCGCCGAGCCCAACGCGGGGCTTGATCCCATGACCTGAAATCACAACCTGAGCCAAAATGATGTCTGGCGCTTAACTGACTGAGCAACCCAAGCGCCCCATCTCTCTTTTCTGATCTGCTGTGGGTATGTTACACCTACCCTCTCTTCCTTGCATTCCAGCTGAATGCATTTACAGAGGGAGGCATCATCACATTTGTGGGGGTTTGGAGAATAAGGAATCTATGGAGGCTTATACAGATAACCTCATTCCAATTACCTAGATGCCAATTTCCTAATCAGTGAAACATTTGACATAAGAGTTCTGCTCTAAATCAGCAAAGCCCATGAATATCGGACACTCAGCAATTGCAGATCTCTTGATACAGGCAGAGGGGCTGCTCTGTTTTGAGTGCCAAGAGCAATAAGCAACTGCTTAACTGCCAAGTAACACAGAATGCCAAGCCAACTTGCTGTTAACTGCTGTGGGAGATCTCCAATCTCTGCCAGTTCCATATTTTAGGGTCTGTAAATTGCCACACTCCATTTCTCATATCAGTTCTTGAAGGTTTTTTGGTTTTTATTTTTTGTTTTTTTTGGTCCTAAGTAGTTTCTAACCCAATTCTGTCTGGAAAGTAGTAATAGGATATGGGATTGCCTCACAGAAACCAAGGACCAAGAATGCTTCAGGAATGATAAAGACCCTGGAACTTAAACACAAAGAAGACTCTCTCTCATCTCTGTGCTGAGAATCTGCATTTTTCTTCTCTTTCTGTAGAGCAGTATATTTTACTTCTGTCCCTCTGGTGGTAAAATTGCTGATAGCTTCCAAGTTTTATGCTTAGAGAAAAACTGATCTCTCTGATCCAATTCCAACTTTATAGGAAATGAGATTCTGACTGACCCAGCTTGGATTATTTGTCTACCTTTGACCCATTCAGCTATGGTTATAAGAACATGACAGTTTTTGCTGTAACTGTCAATGGGAGGAGGGTCAATTCTCAGGAGGGCTGAGAGACAATCCAATAGGTGTTCACTGTACTAGAAAACCTCTGTTCTTTCCATCTTTCATCCCTTCAAGCCACTGCTCATTTTCAAAGAGTTACCTATGTGCACTGCTTCACCATCTATTTATTCCTTGCCAATCTAGCTTGTTCTATCTGTACTATTCTTTTATGATAAATTCCTTTTTGGAGCTTGAAGCATTTTCAGCTTTTGCATCCTACTAGACTGTTCTCAAACTTCATTCATCTTAACTACTCTTGGGTTCTGCACTTTTGCATTTTAACTCTGCCTGCCATTATCTCCCATCTTTCATTATTTTCCAAGCCAGATCTGGCTACTACTCGCTATTACAAAACAGATCTTGTTTTCTGCCCTCCTCCTGCTAAGAGTGGGCCTTAAAAGGCAGTCAGAAGACTGGTGCTACATCAGAATCAACTTAGAAGCGTGCTGAAAATCGATTTTTCCAAAAGATTATGATTCTGTTACGTCTGAAATTGTAGCCCTTGCAGTTATTCTGCAAGAGCTCCCTGACAGATTCACAAAGGTCCTAACTATAGGACACTGTAGCTCTATGAGTAGTGGAAAGGTACAACTTGAAGTTTAATTTGTGTTGGTGCTTATTTCCCTGACCAAAGACATTCTGAAAAAAAAAAAGTGATCATTTCACTTTGTCTCTGCATTCCGTTGGGCAAATAATGTCAATTTCACCACTCATAAATTGGGGCCAAGAACTCTTCGAAGAATTACGGTGTTAAAAGTTAAGTGGGTTACTACAGAAAAGTTGGTTAGCACTTTTACGTTTCGTATGTGTCCCATCTCATTCATTAAAAGCTACGCATATTATTTTTCCCCCCGGAAAGGAAAACGCTCCCTCCTCGGGAATTTTAGCGTTGTTTAGCTGAACTCAATCCACTCTACTTCCTTTCCCATGATGCATCACTTCTCCCCCCAACTCCTTTTCCTGGTAAATAGCCTGAAGCAACTCGGCGGATGCAGGGAATTGGCGTGCAAATCCTAAACACGTTTCACGCCCCGCCACCTCGGATCCTGTGACCGCAAGGGCAGCAAGGGGTGGTAATCTTGTTCCTCGACTGCATCCTGAGGCCATAGAGAAGACTACAACTCCCAGGATGCCCCTCCTCCCTGCCCCGCTCCCCCTCCCCCAGCTAGAAAGCTTGTACCATAGAGAAGACGAGGCAACATGGCTCCCGGAGGTGGAAGGAAGAGGCTTCACCCCTTTTGAAGCGGTGAAGAGCGGCCGGAGAGGGGGGGAAAAAAAAAAAACAGAAGTCACTAGAGCCTGTCATCGCTTTTATCCTCCCAGCCTCTCCTGAGTCCTATCGGCCTCACCCCTTCTCCCCACCCAAATCCACTCTGTGGTCTCCTCCCCACCCCGCCCTCATCCCCTCGCTCGCTCACCCCTCCCCTCGGGAATCCTTTTCCCGCCCCCTCGCCCCCCGCGGAGTGCGCACGCGCCCGCCCCCAGCTTCGCGCCCAGATCGCCGCCTAACCTGCTCGCGCAGCCGCCGTCTCGTCTGCCCACCGACGAAGCATGGGCGTCCAGGGCTTCCAAGAGTTCCTGGAGAAGCGCTGTCCCGGGGCCGTGGTGCCCGTGGACCTCCTCAAACTCGCGCGCACGGTCTCGCGCCAGCAGCAACAGCACCAGCATCGTCAGCTGCCGCCTACGGCAGCGCTAGCGCCCGGGGCTCCACGCGCCGCCAGAGGCTCCGCGCCTCTGCAACCGCCGCTCTCGCCCGCTGCCTTGGGTGCCTACTCCGGGGGCGCGGGGCCGACTCGGCACCATCACCCCGCTCACCACTTCCACCACCACGGCCAGGCGCACCCTGGGCTGCACCCGCCACCGCCGCCGCCGCCGCCCCCTCCGCTGCCCGGGGCCCGGGTGCTTGTGGACGCGGGCTCCGCGCTTCCGCGGCTTTATGGTGGCTACCAGACGGATTGGGTGTGTGGCGGCCAGTGGAACGCCATGCTGGGCTACTTGTCAGCGCTATGCCAGGCTTGTGCCTATCCCGGCGGCGACGGCCTGGAGCTGGTGGTCATGTTCCCCGGGGGCCTGGGAAAGGACCGGCTGGCCGAATGGGGCCGTCGGTGCCAGGCCGAGCGGCAGACAGCGCAACTGATCGTGGGACACGTGGGCAACAAGGGCACCCCTCCTCCACGGGCCTGGTTCCTGCCACCGGCCTGCCTGAGCCACTGCGTGAGGCTAGCACTCATCCGCTTCCGGGTCAAGGTGAGGGAGGGGCCGGATCTTAAATAATATGCCCCACACCTATTCCCTCCCAGCTAAACACCTAACCACCCACCCACTAACCTGTTCCCCATCTACTCACTCACCGCCTAATCAGCTAATCCACTTGCCTAACTATCCTTTATCATTTTATCCATTTACCCACCCTTTCATACCACCCCCTACCGATTCGCTCTCCAACACAACCATATCTCTACCCATGTCATCCCAATAACTCCCTTTTTACCTTCACTCATCCAGTGGCCTATCTCTGGGTTTTAGCCGAATTTCTATTGTGGCCCCATCTTTCTGCTGTCTTCTGCCTCAAGCTGAAATGCCTTTTTCCAAATTTTTCTAGTTGGCAACCCTCTTCCGTATGTCTCTTTCCAACCTGGCAGCAAATCAATTAAACAGATGTTAATCGAATACCTTTCTTCTACAACTTCCTCCCCCCCCCCATTTTGACTGTGTGCGCTTTTTTTTTTACCCATCTGTCCATTCAGCCTTTTTCATTTCCACATGCTTCTATCTCCTCCTGCCTTAGCCTAAACAAATAATAATAAAAAAAAACCCACTGATTCAGTCACTGTTCAACAAGTATTAGACCACTGAGAGTGAGGGGCTTAAGGGACATGTGAGACATGGTTTCCTGCCCTTGGAAAATCAAATATATAAACATGAAAGATTTATTTAATGGTATAAGTGTGTATGTGATTATGCTTTATGGTACAGACTGTAAGTACAGTATTTGTGTGTTGGGGGGATATCTGTGGGCTAAAAGGGTCAGGGGAGGCTTCCTTGAAGAAGATGGATCTCTAGTTCTTCAGGGATGGGTTGGATTTGAATGGATTCCGGGTTTGGGAGGGCTGCTTTTAAGTGGGAGAAAGAGAATCAGTAGAAGCAAAAAGGAATAGCAAGCATGTGAGGCCCCATGGGCAGTTAAGTCCAATCTGCATGTAGTTGGTCACTGCATATGGGGCCTGGAGAACAGCTTGGCAGCATCCCCAGTTCTTGGCACTGCTCCTATTGCTCTGTTGCTTTCCCATACTCTTAGGTTTCAAGTTCTTACGTGTGGGGAATAGCAAGGCTTGAGAAGTAAAGGAGGTGGGCAGGAAGAAGAAAAAGCAGTACAGGGTTGGGTAGGACAAAACCTCAAAACCATTTTCCAACCAAGGCTCTTGGGTATGTGGTCACAATTGGAAGACAGGACAGGGAATTGTGAGAATCATAAAGAAATGGTCCTGGGTGGAGTAATGTAGAGGAAAAAAAATCATCTGAGAGACTGAAAGACCTGCATCAAGAAGCTTGCAGTGGTCATAGAGTTTGTGGCTACAGTCCATTCATGCTAGAACTCCTTGTGCACATCATCAAATCTGTACCTGGGCTGGATAGATTATAGCTGTTTTTAATAACAAAAAATCTAGTAAAGAGCTATATCAAACATACAAAGTAGCAAAAGATAATATGACATTCATTTGTTTGCCTTCCTGACTGAACATCTTCAGTAGATTCTTCATTCATGACGATTCTTTGCCTTTTGTTTTCATTGCTACCACCCAAGCTTTAAGGACTTTTTACCTCAGTGTCATTATTAACCTGGTTGCTGGTGACAGTGACTAACTGATGGAATGCTTAGTATGTGCCAGGTGCTAATCTATGTGCTTTAACAACAAAATTATTTCATTTGATCCTCACAATAACCTGTGAAGCAGTATTATCCCTGTTTTCCAAATGAGGAAACTGAGGCACAGGAGGTTTAGAAAGTTGCCCAAAGTCACCCAGCAATAAATGGCAGAGCTGAGATTCTGGGATTCATGCCCAGGCAGTCTGACTCCAGAGCTCATGATCTTAACAATGGTGCTCTAAGATGAATCTTTCTAAAGTGCCAATGTGGTTAGATCCTTCCCATACTCCCCTAAAATCTTCCCTGGTTCCTGGGTAAAGACAGGTCGGAGTCATTTATTTATATTCATTTATTGCTTGCTATAGTCTAGGTAGTATGCCTATTGCTGAGGATTCAGAGGTAAAAAAGGGTATTCTCTGTACTTACAGAGGTCAGTTTAGTAAAAGACAAAATCAAGTTGCAGATACTGTGAGCTAATCGCGATCGATGAAAACTATGGCCCCTATAGGGGGCATGGTTAATTCTGAATGAGGATTTGAAAGTTGGGGGAGGCTTCACAGATTTGTGCTGAGCCTTGAAAGAGGGCCGGGAAGGATATAGTTCAGGTAGTGGACAAGGGTGTGGAGACCTAAAATGGCCAGCCATGAGATCTGAATGGATTATGACTGTAGGTTGGCAGGAGAGTTAAACACTGAGTGTGGATTTGTGGTTTCCAGACTTTTTTTTTGTTCATGCACCCCATCGATCAAAAGTTTTGAGAAGCAGCCTTACTATGGCCTACCAAAATTCTCTATCACACATAGTCTTATTTTTAAAATCCCAACAGAGTGAAAATGGTAGAATCTCAGTAGTAGGTATTTGCGTGCTCACTGCAAAATTTCAACTTTGCCATATGTTTGAAGTTTTTTGTAATATGATATTGGGGAAAAAATTCCCAACAGTCCTCTTCAGTCCTGAGAACTACCATTTGGGGAATATATAAATCTTATTCCCTATGCTAGATTGTATACAAATTCTTTGATCTTTTCATATTCTCCATAATCTTTTGTATATTTTGGGTTTAGGATATGTTTTTTTTTTTCCCCTGAATGAATAGGTCAGTAATTCTAAGAGAGTGGATTGTAGGATTAAAAAGTGTGTAGTGTGGCTCTTAATATAGTGGATTTAAGACTGGCTCCAAAATCACGTATGTAAAGTATCTGTAGTTGTTATCAGTGAATGAAGTTCTCTTTCCTGGTTCTGGTTGGTGATTTTTGTTGTTGGAGTGATGGAGAGCTTCCTGGTTTATAGTACAGACTTAAAAGGTATTGGTTAATAACTGATCGTGGTTTGCCTTTATAGAGGAATATTCCACTCTCTTGAAGATAGCAGTTTTTCACTTGGATGATCTGCATGGTTACCATTTCTTTCAACTGAACTGCTAAGTGCTTCAGAACAAAACCCACTACTTTATTTCTCCTCCCTTTGGTTTTGTTCTTCAGCCTAGGCCACAAAATTGGTCTTTATTCCTAATATCATTTTCATTTGTAATTGAGAAAATAAAGGTGGAGGGATTAAATAAAAGATAAATTGTTGGGTTGTCCGTTTAGCTTTAGACAACATAAGACTTCCCATGAAAAGATTCAGTGTATATTATTGGCGTGAACTTTGTCTTTTGGTTTCACTGGTATGTTCTGCAAACCTTTGTAAGTGGTAGTCGTTAATGGCAGGAAAGTTAAGTAAACTGACCAGTTGCTAGCCTGATATTTTCCTAAGGGTCTCAAAAGTAGAGCAGCCAAAAGCAGTTTTAGATTGTAGTTTGGGAGATGACATGGGGTGGTTCTGGGGATGAATGCTTTGTTTTAATGGTTACTGTATATTAGAAAAAAAAGAGAACACATCAAACCCACCACTTCACAGTTACAATTCTTTAGAATGGGACCAATTAAAGAAAAATGAGTTGATTTAAAGAAAAGTGTTAAGTTGCAATGCTTGGATGTGGCAGAAATCATGTTGGTGGTACACAAACGATCAAAGTTTTGAAAAGTCTGACCAAGAGCTGATGTCATTTTATGCTTCCACAATGGCTGCTATGCTTCTGTATTATTTATTTACCCTCAGTCATAGACACATCCTGAAAAGTCAGTGACACTTTTTTTTTTTTAAAGATTTTATTTATTCACTTGAGACACAGAGATACAGAGAGGGAGAGAGAGAGAGCATGAGCAGGGAGAGAGGGAGAGGGAGAAGCAGACTCCCCGCTGAACCAGGAGACTGATGTGGGGCTCAATCTCAGGACCCTGGGATCATGACCCGAGCCGAAGGCAGACACTTAACCATCTGAGCCACCCAGGCGCTCCAGTCAGTGACACTTCTAGGCGCTCTAATGGTAGGAAAAATGATTATAATAATAACTACTACTACTTCTTGAGCACCAAGTTGTACATAAAGTGCTTTTTAATATCTCATTTATTCCTCACAAGCTTGCAAGAATGCACAGTCTTCTTCCCATTTAACAGTTGAATAACTGAGGTACAAAGAGGTGAAATGATTTTTCTTTGGTCTGTACGCTGTTAAGTGCTGGATAAAAATTCTTGTTCTGGGTCTGTGTTGCTTAAAGCCCCTTTCCACAATTCCACCACGCTATTTCCTTCTTTTTGTATATTCTTGTGTAAGATTGTGCACTTTTATCGGCCAGATAATATGCATAAATACATGAAGAAAAACAATAAGAAGTCAACTTGTTGAGCACTTAGTTTGTGCCAGCATTGCTAAATGTGCAATATTACCAATATAAAGCACATGTGTACGCTAAGTGCCAAGTGAATGAGTCATAGCAGTCTCTTTCTTTTTTGAATTTTCAGTCTCTCCCTCTCTGGTTTCTTGCACTTACAGCATAAACAAGTAACCTTTAAACAACAAAAACTTTGCCTTTACTTTGCTATTCCCTTAAACCATTATCCTTATCCCATTCTTCCCTTTTAACCATTATTCATGAACAAAGAAGACTGTATTAATTCCCATTCCCTAGCCTATTGCCACTTAATAGCTGATGGCACCATTCTCAGGCTGCCACATCCATTTCCACTCTTATCCGTTTTTGGTCCTCTTTGAGATAATTGACACTATTGAGCCATCCTTTCCTTGAATTGCCTTCCTTCAATTTCATAATGCTGCTCACTCTGGTTCTCTTTGTAAGTGTCTAGTTCTTTCTCCTTTCCTAAGTTACTCCTGCTCCTTTGCCTGCTTCCTTAAGCCTTGGTGCTTTTAAGGCTTCTGTCCTAGTCCTATTCTATATTCATTTCCTGAGCAATCTTATCCATTATTATGGCTTTAAATACTAACTATATTCTGATGATTCCTATAGCTCTTTCTCTACCCCCAAGCTGTCTCATGAGCT